AAAGGTGTATATTTAATAATTTACAGGTCCATTGCATTATACGCAATAAATTGACTTTAAATCCAGTAACTCCAAAACTTCTGAATGAGAACGTAAGTTTTGGAGTTTGGTAAAGAATAAAATTAAAAGAAAACGAATGAAAATACATTTGCTATAAGCTGCAACTTTTCAAATTTACATTGAATTAATGAAGAATCAAATATATTTTTATATTGCAACAAAAAGAATTCCTTTTAATTTTAAAAATGGTAAAATAAATTTGAGAGGTCACTTTACATTCAAAATGCACGATAATGTTCATCACATTATTATTATTATTATTATTATTATTATTATTATTATTAAATCAAGAAAACGGATTTATGAGATCAGGTTGATATTTTTAGTCATCGACATCAAAAGAAATTCTTTTACTCGGTATCACCCCATGCAAGGTAGTAAAGCCACTAAGATGCAAAGGGGTTACGGGTGTGGAAGATTTAGGAACAAAAACATTAATAATGAATAGGAAGAGGAAAGAGTAATCACGAGGATAGTAGATAGCGATTGACATTACATTTAAAGTTTCGCAGATTAAAGTTGGCTGGAAAACACGGAGCTGGAAGAGAGTTCCACAAGCGAGAAGTGCGAGAAAAGTAACTATTAGTATAGAACGTACGGTTACATTTAGCCAGCTTAACAGTAAATTGATGAGATCTAGACGCGAGTCTATTACTGCGATTAAATTCATAAAGTCTAGTTACCATAGCGAAGAGCTTATTCGAACAATTACCATGAAAGTGCTTATAGAAAAAGACACAGAGAGGCAACCTTATGATGATGAGAAAGTGAATGAAGCCGAGCCACCAGATTAGGACCAATAATATTGCTAATTCTTTGAATTTTATCAAGGGGCTCAAGGTAAATAGCAGGGGCACCGGACCATATGTGTCAGTAATATTCTAAGCTTGGACGAATGGTAGACTTATAGATATGTATGATAGATTCTGGAATCTGGCATATTTATCTACAAAACCAAATATAAAAACGTAAATAAAATGAAAAAGGTTTTCCTCATTCGAAATCAATGAGCAATTTTTTGTTTAATTCAATATTGGCCATCCTCATTTCTGCTGAAGATGAATTTTCTGCGAAGTTTAAAAGAATGGTGTAATTCAAATCGTCCTCCAACATTCTATTGCGTTTCTATCTATCCTGACTTGTAAGCGACATCAGTCCGACATTCCTTTTTCAGATACACGAATCCTCACTTGATTCGAAAGATCAAAGGGGAAAAATATTTTATAGTTCCCCTGGTTTTTCGCAGATAATCAAAATAAACGCTTACCTTAAGTTGGAATTTATGGAACACGCTAAACAAAAATGTGGTGAAAAAGCAGCAGGTTGCTTTACGACATTTAGCCGAGTGTAGATGATACAAGAATATACATACGTTAAATGTAACAACTGTTGTGAGACAGATGTTGTAGTTTTCTGTGAAGAGAGTATTGTTATTTATAGAAATGAACTATTTTTTATTCACTTGAAAGTTTTATTTAAATGATTCAATTACAAAGAGCGATATTTGTTTTTGAATCGTTTTGTTCAGTGTTGGAATGTAGAATTGCTGTTGTTCGTCATTCAAGTGTATTAGAAGAAAGGAAATTTGCTAAATTCATATGAATTATTCTTTGTGTCCTTTTATTAATACTTACTGAACTTTGATTTTTTTTGAAAAATAAATTATCCATTCAAAAGAGAGGGAACAGTATAAGCATAAATATTTAGATACCTTCTATATTTTATATGGTTGACTAACTTTGCGTCTAGGGGTCCCAGTTTCGAAGAGTAGCTTGGTGACTTTCTATTATCATGATGTTTATTTGTGCTTATCTGTGAGTCACGGGAATGGAAATCTTCTCTGCCAGTTCTGAGAATCAACAGTGTGATTCATACACCTGTAAAGGAATGTCGAACCGATGTCGCTAATGAGTCAAGTAAGAGCTAGGGGACAGCAGATTTTAAGAGCACATTTTAGCCCCCATTTAAGATGCGTCATCCCTTTAAACTTTCATGTCTTTTCTGTTAATTCACCTCAAATAATGTAAGTTACTTATCGCAAATATTAATTCACCCCAAGAAATTACAAATTTTAAATCAAAATTTGTTTTTTATTAAATTTTTGGCACACTTTTGAAATTATAAATTTTAAATCAAAGTTTGTTTTCTTTTTTTATTAAATTTTGGCACTTTTTGAAATTATAAATCAAAATTTGTTTAGCTTGCCTCGCAACAACTCCAACCCACAGAATGAAAAATTACCGAAAAATCAGTGAGTTATTCACATTTCGTAAGTGCGGATGATATTCGAAGTACTTACAAGGAAATTTTATCATTTAAAAGAAATGGCAGAAAAAAAATCTGTTTTTTGTCTTTTTTTTTGTTTTTTGCCTGTTTATTGGGGGTGAGAGCAAACTTAGACCCCCACAAAAAAGATCCAAATTTTCTATAAAATGTTCATTTGAAAAAAACTGAAATTTAAAAAGATTATTTTTATTTCCTCCTAATATATATTATACGTATGTTTGTAACAAAGATAACGCTTTTAAGACAGTCTTTGAAATTATTGTGTTCCATATCATATATAGGAATTATTTAATAGGTATAACCAAACAATTTCAAATTAATTTGTCATACAATCATAAAATTTTTGTCATGAAATCATGGCTTTAAAATAATTAAATAAGTTTACTTCATATATTAGCCTTTTTAGAAAAAATGTTTGTAAGAAAAATATGATTCTGTAAATAAATTTATTTGAGTGTTGAGCTCCCTGACGATATGTTGTTTTAATTAATAACATAATTAATAACATAATTAATCAATTTTCCTATAAATTATTATTGCTGCATCATTGACATTTGTTATCGATCTCACAATAGTCATTGTTAAATTCTAATATCGACCGCTGGACGTTGTGTCAAGTCACCAACTGTCAGGCTTTCAGCGTTCTTATATTATGAATATTAAGTTTAATAATTTTAACCAAATCATGTATTTATTGGATTTTCCGAACATACTGTATTTGTTTCATATTAAACATTTAGTCCAGGCCGCCATGATTTAAATAGAATTATACTGTTGTATTGTCTGCTTCAATGATACTTTAGTTTTTGTTCATTTGTTGCGTACTTCAATTATGTTTCAGTTCTTTGATTAGTTGTGTACTTCAATTCGTGACAATGTTATTGGTACCAGTATCTGATTTCTGTTGGATTTTATTTATCTATTTTTTTTGTGATTCCTTATCGTACTGATCAGTGGCCTCGTTCAAATTATCCTGAAGATGATCTCGTTTATATTTTGGTAGTCTCGTACCAAATTTCATATAGTACTAATCCGTATCTTCTCCACGACATTTCAGTGGTTCAAAGTTTTTTTATAAATGTTTATACATAATGAGTTATATCGTAACTTATTAGTGCTAATCGTAGTTATAGCGTAGCAATATTAAAATTAAAAAACTAATATATAACAACACATTTGACTACCAATATACCTGTGGCCAAATGGAGGATCAAGTTTAAAAACTCTATTCGGAAACACTTATTGAATAGGAATTTTACAATAGCTATTGAATAATATATGAACGAAAAACTGTTGTGATGAAACGCAAAAAAACATTCGTTTAAAATTATCTTGACTCACAATGCTATTCTAGTTTTTATTGATGAAACTAGAGAAACATCAGATCATTGCAAAAGTTAATATAAAATGATCACAACTTGAAACTGGCATTTGTTTTGGTGCCAATTTCTGGTGTGTTCAAGACTGAAAGCTTGCATCGTTCAACTGCGAGTCAGACTTTGTTGAATGTTGACTTTTGTTCACAAAATGGATGCCTTAAAGATGTAGCATGAAAACTTTCACTTTCGCCATATTACGCTCAGCGAATTTCAGAAAGGAGTAAGCGTCGGAACGGCGATAAAAATCATTCAGAATCGTAATCCAGCTCTTTGGGAGGTCAAAAAGTGGTTTGGCAGATTTCTTCAGGGTAATTTTAACCTAAACGACCAACCACGCTCCGAGTGAACTTTCGATGTCGATAAAGACGCTCTGCTTGTCACCGAGGTGAATAAACCGATGAATTAGACGGAAGAGATTGCTAAGTGTTTTAAAATCAATATCTCAACCCTTTTTTCCATTTAAAGAGACTTGGGTTCAAGAAAAAACGGCCGATTTTGGCAAATGTAAATGGAGTCATTTTCCACAATGACATAACAAACTACATGTTACAAAACAGACGTTGCAGAATCTTAAAATGTTGAAATGGGAAACCCTCCATCACTTACCGTACTCTCTTGACTTGGCTCCTTCAGATTTTCATTTATTTCGCTCTCTACATTTCAAGTTAAATGATAAAAAAATTGACTCTGTATAGTCAGTGAAAAACTGTTTAAACAAATTTTCTTCTAACAAAAACACCAAATTTCTAGGAAAATGGCATCAACAACCTTGTAGAACGATTGGAGACAGTTATTAAAAACAATGGAGAATATGTATTTGAAAAATAAATGTTTTTTTGTGAATATACAAGTTTGTTTTTAATTTTCTAATCCGCACGAACTTTTTCAATGATCCAATATAAAATTACTAAATTTGTAATATTTTTTAAAATGAAAGTAAATGTAGTTTTATAACATATTTAATTTTTGATATGAAAGTTTTTACTTTGTCAAATGGGTGTGATACGGTTGATTTGATTGAGGAATTTGTTTTCTACGGCGTATCAACCAGGTTATTTAAAGCCAAAACATATTTTTCGATTTTAAGAATTTTTGAGATATCTATTATTTATCTAATGATAACAGTTTTACTATTTAACCCATAGAAATGGGTTCATGCCTTTTCCAAGAGTATTTGCGCAGAAGTGGATATAAAGAACCTAATTGGAATTGGAACTCGGTTCTCTGATTAACAATTCTGAGCCATTATCCATTACACAACCATCACATTCTAGTTTACAGTACCTGATATTCCCAAGCAGTCAGCCATCTAGTTACTGACCAGACTTAGTGATGCTTAACTTCGGTGATCGTACCGGAACTGGTATTTCAACGTTGAACAAGATTGATACGCATCATAAGGCTTTAATTATTTTGCCTGCAAAACAATGCTAAATACGCCGATATTACACCTGACATGGCTCTCTTGGCTTCTGCTTCATTGGAGGTGTTATTATGTACCTGCTTTATCTTGGTCAATTAAGATAGGCTAACCGTAACTAGATAAACATGTCTCTTACGGGCTTCTTCTTCTTCTTCTTCTTCTTCTTCTTCTTCTTCTTATAATAATAATAATAATAATAATAATAATAATAATAATAATATCCTGGTTCCTTGAAACTTTGGAAATGTACAAAGTATCCACTGTGATAATAAATTTTCTTAAACAAACGATGGGAACGTGGAAAACCACATTATACCTAAATCACACCAGAGGCAATGCCACCTCAAACCGCCTGAATATCCGACGAGGAATCTTTCAAGGAGACTTTCAGACTCCCTTCTCTTTTGTCTGCCCTTAATCCCTTTACACATAAACTAAACAATAATAGCTATGGATACAAAGTAAACAAAAATTATTCAATCACCTACTATATATGAATGAACACAAACTCTTTGCCAACGATGGCAATGAGTTTTAGAGTCTCCTCAGTACTTTAAAATGTTTCCCGACGACATTTCGGATTAGATAAATCCGCAAAAGTAACATTCAAAAAGGGTTAATTACAGAAAGACACTCAATAGATCTAGATTTTGTCACAAAGATTAGGGAACTGGAACTAGAAGAAGCCTATAGGTACCTAAGAATTAGCGAAGGAGATGGAATACAGTATACCCAAATGAAGAAGAAAGCAAGTAAAGAATACTACAGGCATGTGCATCTGGTATTGAATACCGATTTGAATAAAAAAAAAAAAAAAACAGAATATGAGTCATAAATACATTGGCTGCTCCGTGGTGAAATACAGTTTCAACATCCTTAACTGACATTAAACGAATGGGCGCCAAAACGAGAAAGCGTCTCACCTACCATCGCATGCATCATCCCAAGGCTGATATTGATCGTTTGTATGTGCCCAGATCCGAAGGAGGCAGAGGATTAGTTCAACTAGAACTGCCTCACAAAACTATAATAATCGGCCTTCAAAGATACCGGGAAACTACAGGAGTCTGGATGATGATCCAAAGAACATGAAAGAAGCATGGCATTTATTCAGTAATAAAGGAAGGCAACAAGTTCAAAATGGAGTTTCAGAAGAAATACAATTAAAACATAATACACCTACTGCAGCTTGAAAAACCTTAAAAAGGAAAGCAAATGCAATCGGCCAGATACAAAAACAATGTCAAGATAAACCTCTTCACGGTCAATATTCTGCCCGTACCGAACAAGCTGATGCAGACAAACTCCTTATCCATCAGTGGCTACGTAGTGCAGAGTTAAAAGCTGAAACACGGGACAAATGCTTGCCAACTAGAAATTACAAAGCACACATACTGAAAATTATTTTAGCACAAAATGCAGATTCTGTGAGAAATATCCAGAAACAATTGACCATCTTGTATCAGCTTGCGCGGTTATTGATACCCACTGAATATAAAACCCCGCATGACAGATTAGGCTAATATCTGCATTGGAAAATCTACAACTTTTATGGAAAGAAAACTGCAAGAAATTGGTATGAACACCACCCAGACCCGGTTACAATACACACAGACAAAACAATCAAAGCTAATCGCCTAGACGTTGTGTTCAGAGACCGCAAAGACAAAATGTCCCTTCTTATTGACATGACAATGGCTGCAAAGTGTAATGTATCTTTGAAGATCTTCAAAAACTTTTAAATACATGGAAATCTGTAAAATGTGGCACATGTGGGCATCAACAACTGCATTTAATAGAAGCCCTCTGATTGATTGGAAAAGATTCCAATAGACTCCTTGAAGGGATCCCTGGTAGCCCATGCTTTAAAGAAATTGCACTCACAAGTACAGCCCACACCTTACGAAGGGCTTTATCTATCTAAAACATGTTCGAACTTAGTTTTTTTCACAAAAAATGCACAATGAAAAATGTCATGATGCCATTTCTGACCTTAGGTCTCTGGTTGGGACCCAGAAAGAAATGAGCATACACCAGAAATCAAAGGAAATAATAATAATAATAATAATAATAATAATAATAATAATAATAATAATAACTATCCACCCTCATGTTGTCCCAGGTATGGCTCGCATAGTTTTTGCACTGAATTGATTGTTATCATATATATACGTTTTGTCTTGTTGAATTAGGAATGTCTATAGTAAATATCATGTTCTGTAATACAAATTTGCTTGTCATTTGCTTGACCTTACCCATTTAGATATGTAACCTAGGGGTGGATGCATGGTACCTCTCTGTTTATAGGCGGGACTAGTGGATGGAACATCATGGAGGGGTCGAGAGTGTCATTTTTTAAGTGTAAGGCTTCTGGTTGATTGGAGGTATTAACATGTACACATTTTGTCTTAGTGAATTAAAATAAGCTTCATAAAGTAAAGGACCCGTTCATTACCACAAGTTTGCTTGTCAGTTGCTACTTTTCATTTCTGTTTATGAACGGGTGTATTAATGGAGCTTATGGCTAATTGTCCAGAATGTTTTCTTTTTAACTCTGAAGAACAAGTCAGCCAAGGTGACTTGGGAGTGACATATTAAACGGACTGGATTACCTGACCGGAAACTTTTATACGCCGCTTTTGCCTAATCCTGTCACCATATCGCGCATATTTAGCTGTGATGCATGTGTCTGATATACCGTTATGAAACTGGGTGGTATTACTTATGTTTGTGCCACAGCATCACTACTAACACTACTTTCTCAATTGGGAACACCTAGAATGAAACATGTTAGTAAATTTTGAAGTTTTAATCGTTCACAGAATAAAATTAATGAAAACAAAAAAGCTAGATTACTTTCAAGATGATACAGTTGAATTAATGTCGGATTGATTTCGCTAGTGAATCTAAAGAAATAGTGGAGCAGCAAAATTCCTAGGAACCTTTTTATCTAAAACTTTCATTCTAAGTTTGATCAAAATTATTTTGAACGTAAATAATAAAAAAAAAAAATCGATTTAAAATGTAGTAAAAAAGTATTTATTTATACACTCGAATAGGTTTCAGGGTTTCCTCGTTTCAAATGTTCGCAATGTAGAATATATCCATGGATAAAATCCGCGCTAAAATTCTTCCTTGATATTTTTTAATCGAAAGTATGCGAAAGTCTCCACTGACTGATTCAACACGTGCCTATATTGGAATGTTGAACTGATGTCGCTAATGATTCACAAACATATGAGAGGGCGGCAAAAGCGCCTGGGACCCAACCAATTCTTATAGATGAATGTATTTTTAATCTTGTGAATAAAAATGATTTAAAAGTAACGAAAATAAAAAAGATTATGTCAAGTTAAAGTTATACAAGTTCTTTTTCGGAAATTTTATCATCCTCCCATTATCAAAGCTCTTCACAGACGCACATATACATACACACACAAACATGTGTGCGCGTTTGGACACGCACTTGCTCACACACACACACACACACACACACACACACACATATATATATATATATATATATATATAATATTCCCATTATTAATTGTTGAGCTTTGCTGAACATGTGAGTTTCTTAATTTTTGTGATTTTCTATAAATCTGCATTCGATTTAAACTAAATTATATCTTTGAATAATATTGGTCAATTTTGTTGAACCTGGAAATAGTAGATTACTTCCGTCTTTCTATCATGTTTGTTTCGATGGAAAGGATGATTGATTCAACACGTGGCTCTACAAGAATGTCGAACTGATGTCGCTATATTGTTGAAGGTACCAAGAGGGGAGGGCACAAATATCTTTTATGGTTGTTGATCGCATTGGATTAGCCAAGGGTAGAGGAATAAAAAAAATACAGCATTATTCTTTATTTCGCTTATTCTTCAAAATGAAAGTGAAAGTAGTATTAGTTTTATTATGTTGATATATAAGAATGATGTATAAGTGGATTTACATTTTTTACTTGTAGAATTACAGTAATAATAACCACAAATATAATTGTGAATAAAGAGAAGAAAACGTGACAGATTGCTAATTTCGATGTTCTAGGCCAGAGATTAAAATTATTAGCTAAAAGATAGATAATTGCTAGACCTCACCAGAGAAGTGAATAAATTGTCGAATATTGTCGGAGATCTGAGAAACATCTAAAAAATCCCGCGATCTTTCAGCTATAACATTTATCAGTTGAAGCATGAGTCTCGATTATTGGCTAAACAAAGAAGGACATAAAATATCATAATGATATTTTCTTGAATTTATTTCATTTCTTATATTGACACACAAACACACACACACAAAAACACACACATATTATCAGTCTTATGAGTAGGTAAGATTGCGAGTCATTGCGCAGCTAAGTTCCCTCTACATATCTGAGTTGAAAGTTGGAGAGATAATCTTTCAAACATAGCATGCTTGGCCAAGCAAACCTGGCTGAACCCAGCCCTTTCCAGGTGAAACCATAGGCGATGTCCTCCAATTTGAAAGCTCGCCTTAGTTACAGACTTTCTTTCATTTTATGTGCTATGTCCTTTCAGGACGTAGGCGATCATGGCTCTCCCCCTCCCTCTGTCCCTTGCAACTCTCAGCAATCTCCTTCTTTCTGCTTCCTCCCCCAGACCACGTTCTGTCATCCACCTGCTCAAGCTTGCCAGGTATATAACGCATTGCTTTCCCTTGTCTCTCTTTCCCTCTATTTGACCCATGACTATCAGATTCTCCAGGCCCTCCTTCCTCATTATGTGTCCCAGAAACTTCATCTGCCTTTTCCTGATGTTAAGTATAAGCCTTCTCCTAGATTGCAGCCTCTCTAAGACCTCATCGTTGCTCACATACTCGGTTCATGATATCCTTAGCATCTTTCTATAGAACCATATCTCCGTCGCATCGAGTCTCTTCCTCATCTTCGCTGCCGTAAAGAAGAACAGATGGTTACGTAGCAGCTCAGT